TTACTTTGAGAACACACGAAGAAAGAGACCGCCGACACACTCCCAATTGTCTTCGGCCATTGTTTAAGCCTACAGACTGGCCTGTGCCTGGGATTATTGACTTTCTTTACACATTTTGACCTGATTCCGCTAACTTTTGCCAAGTTTTTTTTTTTTTTTTTTTATCCGGCTTCCTTGCTTTGCATGCTGGAGGCCCTTGGCAGGTTAATGGCCCTGTGCTCACACCTGCAGATCTTCTGTAACATAAACAAACCGGCCAGGAAAGTCGGAGGCCCGCTGTGCTAGTTCACGCAGCTCCGCCAGGCCTACCTGCTGCGTATGACTTTGTCTGCAGTAGTCTGTTAGCTGCATGCCCGCGCTTTGCGTTTCAGCTCCCAGCACCTGCCGCACCGCTTCCGCGGCTCGTTCGATCTGGTGCAGTAATGCCACTGCCGCCCCGCGCGACAACTTTTCAGACACAACGAAAGCACCCAGCCCTCCTGCCTGTTCACTTCCTCTTTCAGTCCAGCTGGAACTGGTACGCAGTTTGCAGACATCGTATTGGCCTGCAGCATGTTGGCCACCCTGTTCCCTTTTAAATAGTCCCACCGGTGCGCTTCTCCTGTGGGCGTCCGCTGTGATTCCTTGGAACTGCTTGCCGGCGATGAGCTGCCACAGTGTCACCACTTTTCGCAGAACTTTCCAAGGCTGTGCTGTACACTGCCCATCTGTTAGCCGTCTCCCATTTTCCAACTCTTCCGCCTCTTTTGCGTTAAGTTCGAAACACCAAGACAGAAGAAGCCAGACCCTGTCCACCTTGTCGATATCTGGAAACAATGAGTCGGGGAGCACCTTTCCCAGCGGTATCGCGCTTCCTTTTACAGGCTCGCAGGGTCTTCCTGTGATCTGCCTCGGGCTCCCTTCATTCCACCGGACGCGGCTACCAATATCTAGCAGAAGCCCCACCGCCCGCGGGTGTATTTCTTTCAGCACTAAGCCCCGCACCCTTGTCAATGTGGCAAGAATGTGGTCTACTTCCCTTTCTCTATCTGTAGACATGTGCCAGGGCGGTTTGATTGGGATAGGAGAACCCACCTGACGCACCACACGGGCCACCATACTCAGAACTACTTCCCTCATTAGTTTACACGCTGACAACTTTCCACAAAAAAAGACGCGAACCGCCTGCCGCTCTGGCTCCGTCCACGTTTCTGCTGTGGTTGCATCACCAGGCTGCGCAACCATTGAAAGACATTCTCGGACACTTTCCGCCTTGCCATCTTTGGGAGCCTCAAAATTAGCCACGCGGGGCGCCATTTCTTTCTTAATCGGCCGAACCCTCTGACTTTGAACTGTTCCAGATGTCGGAACCCTGTCACCAGACTGCTCGGCCCCTTGTCCTGCTGATGCCGCTGCACTGCGCTGCACTGCTAGGGCCACCGCTTGCAATATAGTTTCCTTTTGCCAATCCTCCACCGCTTTTCCTTGTTGATGCAGGTGCACAAACTGGACGAGACTTCCCCTGCCTGGCACCTGAATGGATACGCGTGGCCCCAGGTCTACCTGTAGACGGTCCACATTTTGCCCACGTTTGCCAAGGAAATGCGGCACGGCTTTTGCCGGTAGTCCTTCTGGGCACATCCAGATGGGTGCCGCCGTGCTTTCCTCTTTTCCTACGGCTTCGCGCTCTTCCTCGCTAGTAGAGAGCAAAGACCTCGCGACACCGCCCACGCTGGCCCCGTCTTCTTCGATAATGTTGTCCGGGGCTTCCACGCTGGCGCCACTGATGTCCATTTTTTTTTTTTTTTTAATTAATTGAGCTACAGTAAACCCTGCCCCACTACGATAAACCCCGGACCGGTTTCAAGTAGTGTTTTTATTTTTGCCCCAGGAGCTTCCCTAGTTTTTCCCTTATTTACACCAGACCCCGCACAGCTTTTCACACTTGCGGTTGATCTCGTTTCGCTGTATATTACTGGCAGCCCTTTTGTGCCTTCATAGAAGACTGCCGCCCTTTATTACACCAATAGACGAAGTGACTACAAAAGTAAAAACATGGAGTCATGAAAACAGAAGCCAAACATCACCACCGAGGTGAACGGGCTTCAAAGACGTTCCTTATACTGGACGCCACGCACTATTCTACGACACTGCGGAGGCCCCTTGTAATTATTACAAAAACCAACAAAAGAAGCAAAAGACGTGCCAAATATCACCACCGAGGTGAACGGGCTCCCATCTGGTTCCTGTACTGGGTTAGAGCTTTTGCGAAAATTTTTTTTTTCTCCTTATTTTTCGTTCTTAATTCAAGTTTTTGAACGCCTAAAGGGTTTGCGTCTCTTGTGTCATCATATGCCAAACCTTTACGCAGGTTCCTTTTTTTTTTTTGACAGCTCTTACACTCCTGCACCCTGCTCACCGAAGTGCGCACTCTTCTCGTAAAGATTGCAGAACACACTTTGCTAGACTTTCTTATTGGGTTGCACCTCTTTCACCGTTGTGCTCGCCATTTATTTTAAAGCTTGACAGTTGACCTCCTTACTGTGTTCCCGTAGCGGCTCTCTCAATCTTGCCGCCCTTCTGATTTCATGCCTTTTCTAACCCTGGCGGACTCCGCGGATCCGCTGTCACTGCACAGCTAGACACACATAAAGCGCGGGGATCTTGGAGCCCTGTTGCCTTGTTTTCCGTGGCCTCACAGCAGAAGGCCCACTCTCTGTCGAAAACCTCAACCCTTTCGCCATGTTTGGCGCTGTGCTTTGTTTGGAAATGGTTGAAGACTTGAAGCAGATCAACCCCCGCAGCACTATTGCCCTGAAACCGATAACCACACCCACGGCAAACCGGTGAACCATTCACGCCACCCCTGTCAACATGGTACACCTGCAGCTTCTGCCACTCGCGACGCCATTGCTCTGCACATTCTTCACAGACATTTTCCCACTTTTCAAACCCACCAACGCAGTCACTTGCCGTGTAGCAACGGGGAAAGAATAAAGACTGCGGAACACAGTGCCCCGCGTTTTGCCCCTCGCATTTGCTGCATTTGTCCGCATAAAGGTGCTCACGCCTAACACCTAGGGCGCGACACTTTTCAACAAAGGGGAACTCCTGGCCAGTGAGGCCGTCCACTGCAATGCCGGCCATAATTACGCGGACACCCGAATTGCCGCACCGCTCTAGGAAGGTCACCAACTCCCCCGGGTCCCTCATATGTACCTCATCGAGCGCAACTAAATCGAGCCCGGTCAGCGACACCTCAGACAAGTTTCCAACCTGTTGGGCGGGTGCCTGGATTCCACTATGTGTCCGGATTGTGCTGCCTGAACGATGGTCGGCGACAGGTGTTAAATTTAATAACTTCGCTCCTTGATGGGCGGCATTGATTACTTCCAGAAGAAGCGTCGTGGTTTTCATAGTGCCCATTGCGCCCGTCAGCAGTCTGATTGGCGCAACAGTTGGCAGGTCGGCAACCTCTGCCGGCGCGGTGCTGCTGGCTGACACCTTGCGATATTCTGTTGCTCGTTTTTCGAACTGATTGGCGCGACCGGTCATCTCGACGGACAACATCCAGGGGAACGGACTGGCGACGCCAAAAACTGGTCCGTAACCTAACATCCCACCAATACCATCCGCCACGCTTTTGGCGTATTGTGTCAGCTTGTGTGCTGTCAGCCCCGGCAATCCTTTAGGTAATGCAGCCCGAGCGAATTCTGCCTCGATTTCGATAGCTTCACGCATCATTTCCCCAAATTCCTGCACGCTTACGCGCTCTTTTGATGGAAGGCTTCGATGGATGTACCCAGCGAATTCTGCATGGAGGCGCTCGTCTCGCGCTATGAATTCATTGGCTGTGGTCAATCCCGGTAGCTTTCCGCTGTAGTTTTGTTTTTTCCAATATATTACGGCAAACGCAGACTGAAACAACACCCCTTCAACAATAGCGAAAGCGGCCAACCGCTGCGCATAGCTGAATTTTTTTGGATTCAAGTAACGCGCGACCCAGAGGACCTTTGCCGCGACGGCTGGGTGGAACTTTACTGCGTCGAAGATGGCCTCCCTTTCCATCGGATTCGGCACCAGGTTCAACACCTGCAAAGCATAGACCTCCGCATGTACCTGCTCAACAAGTGCCTGCACCAGATAAAAAGCCCGCGCCTCAGGACTCTTTGTTTCCTGTGTGAAATTATTTGCAAGGTTTTCGATCACTTCCCCGTCGGCAACTGCAAAGAACGACAGGACGAACTTGAGAAGCTTCTGCACTTCTGGCTCAAGTTGCGCAAAGTCTGCTCCGTCCTGGTCGAAGTTGATTTCTTCAGCTGTCCACAGCATAGCATGGTGGCGCTTGTAGAATTGCCACGCCTCGACATCTGTCGGGGGATACGACAACCACCGGCCCGGGCTGGGATCTATTTCGTCACCTGTGGGGCAGCCATTTTGCTGCGTTAAAGAGGCTTTGTCGGGAATCCTTTCCACGCCATCAGATGGCACACGCTCCAAACTTCCTCCTTCGCTGCTTTCTTTCAAGCTGTCGCCATCGCTGTGCCCACTCGGGACATCTGTTGAGATGGTTTCCCGCGTGGTATTATGTTGCCACCCTTCGACTTCCGGCTGTGTTCGGAGATAGTACCAGCCGACTTTTGCCTGTGCTTTCCACATTTCGCTGAGTATTGCGGGAAATGTTCCCACTCCTTCATCTTCGGCGGCTTGCGTCTTTTTGCTTAGTCGATGGGCCTGCGCAAATGACTCCGCATCTCTAGCCAGGTGGAAATTGATTGACTGGGACTGGTCAAGATACGGAGCTCGATCCGCTGCGAACTTCAACAATTCCCCCACCCCGATTTCGTACACTGTCCTGTAGCATTGTTTTTCGTAATTTGTTAAAAGTTTCAACGACTGCACTGAGCCCCCAGCCCGTGTCAATTCTCGTCGAATTTCCCAAGTCCATTCGCCACGCTTTTCCAATTCTTTAACGACATGGGAGAATAAAACTGCTTCGCCGGCTGCTGTTTTCTTCTTGAATATTGCGCCAGGAGTCGGCTCGCACATATCTGCGACGCCAAGGAGGATGGACTGCGTGTGTGTTGGCATTTGCGCCGTTACGAGTGAGTTCCGCATTGCTTTGCGCGCTCGCTGTCGAGCGTCAGGAAGCCCTGCAACCTGAAACGGGTCACGCGCGCTTGGATAATGATCAGAGTGAAAAATACCACGAGACGTCGGCGAGCCTTGAAAGCTCCTATATGGCCCCTTTTGTTCGGCAAGGGTGGCAGACTCGTCGACCGTAGTGGCATACAGGTGGGCATAGAGGCACTCATGGAGAACCCGGCCACACTCGTAAGGGACTCGCTGCAGGTGCAGTAGCTCCTGGAACCCTGTTAGTCCGATCCCGACCGCCCTATGATTTTTGCAAGAATCTTCGGCCCCCTGAACCGGGAACCATCCTTGGTCAATGATGTTGTCCAAGGCCCCTAACAACAGGCGCGCCGCTGATCCGAATTCTTCCCATTTAAAACCCTTTTCAGTGGTCCACTTATCTACTTCCTGCGCCCAACAGCCCGGCCCGCCTCTGCTGTATGCTTCTGCACTGGTGGCGAACTTGGACACGTTAACAATTCCCAGCATGCAGGTCGCCACTTCCTGACCATCTGAGTACTGTAATATCTCTGCGCATAGGTTGCTTGTCTGTATTGTTCCCCGGTGCTTTTGATTGCTCATCCGATTGGCCTGGTCTATGAAAATTACCGACGTGCTTCCGTTTTCAATTGCTTTACGGCCTAACAGCTTTAGCAACTCCACCGCCGGCATCTCGAACCTCCGCGCCGCAAGTAGGCCCCTGGTAGCATCCTGCTCCAGTTGTTCATATTTTTTTACGAATTGCTCCCCATGCAAACGAGCAAGACCCCGGACACGTGGGCACGTTGTATCGAAAAGGGTCCAAGATTTTCCTTCCTGTGCGCGTTTCATACAGAGATCGTGGACGCATACTTGGTTTTCAACACCATAAACCCGGAGCGGCCCGGGCGCTGCGTCTCTACTTTCCAAGAGTTCAATCACATTTGCATCGAAATCCATGACAGAACCACACAGCGCGCTTGAGCGTTTCCCGGGTACAGTCGTAAACTGTTTGATTTCATTTAAGGCCTTTAGGGATTTCCGAAAAGTCACACCTTCACCCCCGAGAGAACTTAGACCAATCCCCACTCCGCCGTGGTGTGCTAGTAGTTTCATGATTTCCGCCTGCTTTTCTACAGCATCTGGAACACTCTGCACGTCCATAACAGTAAGAAAACACGACGCCACTTGTGGCCACTTCTTACCCGCTGCCTTTAGTATAGGACTACCCATTGACACCCTTTGCGTGGCGAGATGTTCATAGAAGCTCATGGCCTTTTCTGGTTCCGACTCGTACGCGAACCAAGCTACTCGCATGAAGAGCACCTGCGGCGACTCCACCCGCGGACCAACAGCACGCAAGAAATTTGTGCGGTAAGAGGTTATCTGCGAATCATCGAAATCATAGTCACGCTGCAGGTTTTTTCTTAACGCAGACTCGATCGCAAAACGATGGCGCTGCAACCGTTTTGCCCATTTTGGACATATATTCGCGTCCTCTTCTAGGCTCGCAAAGAATTCCCCACCGCCAGAGCTGTGGATTTCATACGCCTGCACCCTTCCAGCGAGCCGGTTCCCTAACGGAGAGAAATCAGCCAAGAAACGTTGTCGCATGTCGTCAAGGCTTTGGGCATGTGCCCATGTTTGTATCTGGTTGTCGGTCGGTGTTGCTGTGCTTTCCGTCCCTTGCGCGAGAAGGTGCCGCACCGTCCGCACAGCATCTGAGCTATTGAACGCCTTACCTTCGTCAGTGGCGCAACTGATGCCTTTAGAAAACCAGTCGAATGGGTTAACCTCGGCGCCTTTTTCTCCGTTCCCTGTGTCAGGTTTTGTTCCTCCGCGCAATCGCGGCCGGTCCGGGTTCTTTACTTCTTTAACGTATACTTTGCAGAAATCTCCGACACCCTGCCCCCTTAGCGGTGTCCCCTCATGAAGGGCCTCCCGGTTATAATAAAACTCGAAAGAGCTGTCGCTCTTGTAGCGGTTTTGATGTCTTAGGTTTCCGATGTCTACCACGTCGGCAACCACTGCAGAGAACGGTAGCCAAACATCTTGCACCTCGTTGCCTTTGTGGAATAACCACAGACACCACCAAGATTCGGGGCAGTTGTTGCCATTATTCTCGGTCCCACTTGCTGGGGCAGTTTCCTCCTGTAGTGCGTGAATTGCCACCGCGACACCCTCGGGCTTTTCTGGCTGTCTTTGTATAGATGGCGAGCTTGGGCCCTGTGGCTGACGTAAGTCAGGAAGATCTTCCACACCGAAGGCCTGTCGTTCAAAGTGGCTCCATGCTGCGTCACTTGGCTCTTTCCCCGGGTTTTCACCTAGCAGGTATGAAGCATAACGCACACGAAGCGGCACCAATCCGGCCGGGAGCTCTTGCGCAACTAAATTGCAAGCACACGTGGCCAGCTCTTGCCAATCTTCTTGGAGCAGGTTCATGTCTAGCCCCTGTCGATCAAAAGCAGGAGTTACACGCTGTTCCCAAATGGCTGGAAGTGGGTCGAAGCCCAAACTTCCACGTGTAGCGACATCCATGAAATCGGGCCCCATAAGAGCCATATACTGCTGTAAGTGCGTGTCATATTTGAAAAGCTGGTAGGCCTTGGCGATATCATTTGCGACGCAAATGGGTGGCACTTTTCTCCCCTTTTGGTATGCCAGCTGTGAGACTGCCTTTAGCAGCGGAGGAGTGGAGAAGCTTCGCAAACTGATCAAGTTTACGCCGGTGCTCAGGTCGTTCACATTTCGCCCAGCTACTGTCCCCTTCCTTACTGCCCACTGAATTGCATGCGCGAGCTTAATAGCTCGCCCGAAATCACGCGAGGAGCAATTTACGCCAAGCAGCCGATCTTGTTCCGCATTGACACCAACAGCCTGTCGCACAAACTCCGAGAACCGGCGCCGCGCAGGTGCATCCAGTTCATCGAGCGCCGCCACCTTTGCAGGGTCGAGCGTATCGTCGACGCCTAGCGTCCCTACACAGCTCAGCGGCTGCCCTGTTTTAGTAAAAGACCCCGACCCAATCCGCAAGATATGATAAAGGAGAACCGACATCATTTCGATTGTGCGCACAAATTCGGTCTCTTCCATTTTCCCGCAGATAAGTTCCCTAAAATATTTCCAGTCAACTGTTCCCGTGTGGCGATTGAAGATACTTGCCAAGAATTCGGGTGAGCCCCTGCTTTCCTGTTCAAATTCTTCTAGAAACTGTCGATGCTCTTCCTCCAGTTGTTTGATTCTTATCGGCAGTTCTTCTTTTGAATAATTTGGGTCGACAATGGTTTTGATTGCATGGATATGAGCGCCCTGATCTTCATCCGTTGGCTGACGTTCCCTAGTGTCGCTGCTGATTTCATCCGTCTCGGTCTGGTAATTTGTGGCGACGGCTGTCCCGGCGGGTCTGTTTTCTTCGAAAATTGTGCGGCCGACCCATGCCGTGCCCTGGACTCCTTCTCTCTGGTCCTCTTTTCCTTGTTGCGGCCTTCGCCACTCGTCACACGTAGTGGACACAATCGAGGCACCATCGACGGAACGCCTATGAACTTCTGTTGTGCGCATAGTTGATAACTTTGCCAATTTCTTTGGACCCCCGCGACCCGCCTGCGGCGTATATTTCTCGACCCGTGGCCGAACATGTACGCGGACCCAGTTCGTTCCCTCTCGTGTCCAATAATCGTCCGGAACGGCTGCAGCATGTATGGCTTGCGTGGTTTTTACCACGGGACGTTCGTGCACCATGGTTCTAGAGTGGTCCCTTTGCAGCAAGCTATCCTTTTCAAGCGAGGGCGCTACATCATTTACGACCGGAAGGGAGCCCCCTCCCCCCTCCGCATAACGGCGGAAAATGTAGGCGCGCGCCCTATGAACGACTTCGGGTTGGAGATCGTCATAGTCGCGGACTAATAAGCACGCCTCCTTGTCGAACGTTCGCCGCTGTGTTGGTTCCGGCCACAATTCAACTAAAACGCTACGGCTAGGCGGAACATACAATAGTACTGGCGTCCCGAAACTCCATCGATCTCCGATTCTGTATCGCGCCGAGACGGCTTTTGAGGTTGAGACCTCCACTAAGTGTCCCGGTGAAAATGCAGACAGGTCAAGCCGATAAGTGAGCGCCTCTGGATACTTAGCTGTAAGAGAATACAATGGTGCAGGCCCTGGCTGCGCTAGTTCTGTTGGTTTGGTGGGAAAAATTTGCAAAGAGACTCGATAGATACGCGCCCCGTCATGCTCAACAGGGACCAGCTCGATGCGCTCCGTGTCAGAATTGTGTACGCCATGCACCAATATAACGCCTGAGCCTGGCCAACTAAGGGCGAGCCCAATAGCTGCGAGATCTCGACAACCGATAACCACGCGGCAATTGGATATACTCCAATCGGACATTCGAAAGAGCCTCTGAACAGGTGAGAAAAGCCTCTCCCCTTCGACTGACCGAAGCTCGAAAACGCACTCAACTTCGGTCGGATTTTGATCGACGGACGACCCATGCCAGGACTTGGTATGATGGGGAGTTTTCCCACGGAAGACTTTGGCTCCCTGTTGTGCAAGAAGATCGCAGATCTCAACGGCTGCGCCACTGTGCTGTATATGTCCTAGCTGCGTGTCGATTTGTCTTGATGTGGCGGGTATCGTCGGACTTTCTTCGGAAATCATTCCGACTCTGGCGCCATTGTCCGCCATTGCCGCAACACATATACCAGGCCCTTGCATTTCTTTGCCCGGTACATGGAGATAGACCATAACTTTTTCCCATGTGAGTTGAGTACGGCGGTCCTTAGCAAATTCGGCGTGACCAAGTACATAATGTCGCGCGATGTCGACTGAGTCGTCGACGTTTGGGCAAATGTGGAAGAGGGACCCTTCTCCAGTGCGCCGACTTGTGGTCATGGTTTGGGGTCGTTCTACTTTGTGCGCTTCGATCTTTTGCAGAGGAATAACAAACGGAACACGAACCGGCGACGCCTGCAACGGCGGAAATTCACACTGACCGGCCTGACCACTGTCGCTAATAGGCTGACCAAAGTTTTTAACTGCTCGCGCGAGTAACGTCCCTACAGAAATAGCCGGGCCATCACTTTGCGCGACTGCTGAGCAGATGGATGCCTCCCTAAGGGCACCCCCTTCGACGTCTGGAAGGGGTTGAATATGGAGAAAACTCGAAACCTTCTGCCGCTGTTGCTGTCGAGGTATGTCGTCCCAGTTGCCATTGAGATGCACGGATAGAGCACAGCCATGCCCCAAGATTGTCACCTGTTGCGGCTGAATGAAGACACGCTAGGCTTGCCAACCGATGGGGAAAAGGTCCGCCAACATTGCCACTCCCACGATTTCCGTTGCTTGTCTTGCGACCTTGCGAACGACCAAGCGTGCTGAGCTCTCGTCGATTAGGTCAGGCGTGGCACTGGGGCCCTCAAATAGCTGCTCGTCTTCTTCGCTGTCTTCGTCACCGATATTGGCCGAATGTATGGTCGAAACTCCACTACCAGAGCGATTAGGTGGGTCCCCAAGTCTTCGACGCTTTGCACCAGGTGGGAGGAACATCGTCCCCCCCTGTCTTTCGTGTGGTGGGTTTCTGCTGGAACTTGTTGGGTCACCAACAGGCTCAGCTTGCTCCGCTGTTGGCTGCGTATTGGTCTGACGATGCGGCGCACTGGCTGGGTCTGATGATGGACGCACCGGCACAGGATCGGCGCGCCGCATCTGTACTGGGTCCGGCACGGGCCTCGAATTGGAGGTCGCCCTGTGATCTTGTATCCACAATCGCCGAACCACGCGGCGCACCCCGGCGCGGTCATTGACTACCCATGCCCAGTAAATGACTCGGCGGGGGATTGTGACCCCGAGGAATTCCATCGGGAAACGCCCCAAATCCACACCCGGAACTACGTTATTTTGTGATAGTAAGAGCAACGCATCCAGAAATTCGTGACGCTCCAAGAACTGCAAAAGGTTCCAATTCTGTCGGCTGCAGACTCGCATCGTAGCCGTCTGGTCCATTTCCACCGATAAGAGGTTCACCTCGCTCATTTGCTCTAAACAGTGGCGCGCCATTTGCACTACTTCGGTTCCTTTGGGCAAATTTTGGGGTATGACATCCGTCCACGCTTCTGCCAATTTCCCAACGTCGTAGGAGAGAAAACGATGCGCATACGTGTGGAGATTGCGGCTGGTTTGATGGTTTTTCACTATTGGCGCGAATGGGTCGACTCGCACACTTGCCGGCGCTGCTGTAACAATCTGCGACGCTGACCGATTGACCGGCCTGCCGTTTTTCATCACTACCGACGCCCAGCCCACTCGCCCGACATAGCTTGACTGTACTAAACGCCCATGGGATGCCCCTTCATGCCTCGGGATGTAAATTGGCTGTCCCGTTCCTTGCTCCGGGAGACCGGCGCCCCCGGTAACGATTGCACGGCGCTGCAGCTCGTCGCGGATGTGTTTTTCGCGGAGTGCCAACCCTGCCACCGTTGGTCCTAGTTGGTCGAGAAGCTCATCACTTTGCGGCTGTGCAATGGTGAACCCGCGACGGCAGACGGCATTATACTCATCAATAGCCGAGGCCAATCGATCGCGGGGCGCCCGTTGGAGTTCACCAGGAACGTTGGAGGCCTTATCCATTATGCTACGAAGTATCGCGATGATCACATTAATGGAACCTTGTGCCTGGACATATTTTGCTGCCATTGGTTCCACGTTGATCACATTGCCCAGCCCATGACTGACGTCCACTTGGTCCGTGACAGTCATGGTTTTGATTTCGATATTATAGGCCTCCCGATGCATTGTCTTCATTCTGGTGACCTGCTCTACTATTGTTGAATCTTCAACAAGACTTCCAGATATCGCGCTACACCCGCTTCCTATGATTCGCGCATAGCGTTTGTCCTGCTGGTGTAGATTAAACGTAACCTTACCACCAGGGGCACCCGCGATATGTTCGGGCCGGGATCGTACGACTTTCGTGCCAAAATCGTAGTGCATCTGATCCGCATGAACTCGCTCGGGCTTCGGCTCCGTGAATCCGTTAAAGCTTCTGTGCTGGCGGTAGGCTTTCCCGTCGCACACCGTGCAACCAGCACAGGCCGCTTCGATATCGGCTAGAGGCGCATCGAGAAAAGTGTCACGAAGATAGTTTTTAATATCCTCGGGAGACATGCAACGCTTTGCCACATGAATGGCCCGTAGGAGTTTTGCGGGGTTTTTCAGCCTTTTATACACATTTCCAGCGGTTTGCATTAGCGACCCCACCCGGCCCCGCTTGCGATGGTCCAGGGCAGTTGCCACGAGGTTTAGCACCCTCTGCACTGTGTCCATGTTCTGGGCCCCTTGATCTAGGGCAACGCGCTCGGCGAGTTCTAGGAATTGGCCTGCAGCTGCTTCCTGTTCCCCTTGGGTTTCTTCATGTTCCTGAGCCATAAGCCAACCTACCGGCTCAACTTCTTGACACAGTACATTTCCGGTACTGTTTTGGTCGGGTTGTTTTAACACCACAGGGAAATCATACCGCATCGGCGCGAGATTGCTGCCGTTTTGTCCTTCCTCTAGATGTTGTCGCCATTCTTGGGGAAGTTCCGCCGGCGTCACATGTCCACAGGCTGCATATTCCGGAATCCCTTGCCGTGCCTCCTCGAAGCTTAACCGTTCGACGCCGTAGTAGTCCTCCGCCTGCAACACGTGGAAAACCGGCTCAGGTATGTCGGGGCCCTGCGTTGGAACATGTGGCGCAGCCGGGTCAGCCTGTAACTTTGTGCGTAACTTTCCCAGGGCCACTTCCTTTTGTTTCAAGAGCTTCCGCCTGCACTTGTCAGAGGGCTCGGCTGGTGTAATTTTTAAACCTGGGAAAAGGACCGGCGTAAGCTGCGCGCTTATTTCGAGCAGTGTCCTTTGCCATTCACTTCGCGCAATGATTGCGCCTTTCCAACCACGCCCCGCGAGGTCCCCTTGTTGTGTATGTCCGCACCCTGCCACGAGGGACAGTCTTGGCTCTTCTGCAAGGTAGTGCGCAATGAAGCGCAGGTCGTTCGCGTGAGCTCGCTGCGAACATGCGTGCCGCGCTGTTGTTGATGTTAGTGCCCTCTGATCTGTGACGACTGTCCGAGCGAAATCGCGATAATCTGGGTCGCATTCTTCTAAAATTTTCCGAACTCCCCACGCTTCTCCATCGATTGCAGGCAGGGCACTGCGCTGGACGGCAATTGGTCGCGAATAAATGTTATGAACCTCCAGGGTTGCCTTGGTCTCTTCCAGGGTTAGCGGGTTCGCGATTTCTTCAGGTGTGAGGTCCTTCGCCGTTTCGGCTGCCATATTTCCACCGTTCACCGTTGAGATGGTCACACCCGATAGACTGAGCGGCTGGAAATCAGGACAGTGAAAAATGTGACGCCTACCAGCTGCATGCGCATCCTCATCGATTGCAGTAACCGCCCCGGTTGTGAGACACTGCTTTACCATTCCTAACGCGAGGAGGGCGGCAGGGTCGTACATTATTCGCCAATATTCTGAAGGCGGTATGCGTAAATATTCCCCGAGTATGCCAACGATGAAGCCAAACTGATGCTTCCACTTACGGGCAAAGGCGTTCATCTTTCCTATTAGTCGCCGAAGAGTGGCAACATCATCCGGGACGCTGTCCATCCCTAGGAACCAGGCGTCTGTAGACTCCGGATAATACCGATAACCGCAATGGATCACCTCTCCAAGAACATCCGGCGAACCACACAGGAAGAAGGTCTTTCGCGAGCCAAAACACGCGCCCACCTCTTCGCAAGTTCCGACGTTGAAAATAAGCTGGAAAAACATCGCGGCAATAGTCTCGGCAGTTGTTAGGTCATCGTCTACATAAAGTTTCTGAAAAGGCTCACCCCGGCCAAAGTGCTGCTTTCTGGTTGTAGTCATGTGCTTTTGCAGTAGTTGCTCGAGAAGCTTCTCATCATCGGCGAAAGCGGCCGCTGCTCCTTCTGTGCTCAACACCACAGCCCCAGAGTTGTGCTTGTGAAGAGAGTCGAACAATTCCAAAACTTTGGCGCAGTTGAACGCGCTGCCCGAGTAGTTGGCTGCCCTAATTGCTTCGACCATCATCGCCATGGCCCCCACGATTCTGGGGAACTTGGCGGGACCGAATTCAAAAACTTTGGCGAGATGCTTGCCAACGTCATGGGCGTCGCTATCAGTGGTCGACACCAATAGCATCCGAATGAAGGCCGGGCTCCTATGCAAATTATCAGCGCAATGGACCAAGACACGCACCACCTTGCTTGGCTCATTTTTATGGATTTCGGCCAATTTTTGACGGAACCGAAACACCGCTGCAACCGTTTCACGCATTACCTGCACCCTTGTCCCACTCAGGTCCGCCTCTATCTTAAATGTAGCAGACTCGTAGGGACGATTGCTAGCAACGTTAATTAAGACATCTACTGACGCCTGCAGAGCATTGTCACAGCTTACGCGACTCCCTCCCAGATACACCTCGACAGCTGGGACATCTCCGACCGGGCAAAGCCTACCCAGCGCCGCTACCCCCTTTTGGGGTATTTCTGACGGAATTTTTTCGGCTACCTCGCTCACGGGTGGTAGTTTCCAAGATGGTGCGAACACTTGGCGAAGGTGCTCCGCGTCTTTTTGCGAATTTGTCGAGTTTGCAGCTGGTTTCTGCTCGGTATTTTGCTGCTCGATTTTTGCGATTGTGCAGAGGTTTTGTAGTCTGTCCCCTGTTGCGTTGGCGATGTCGAGGAGGATGCTGCCATGACACAACTCAGGACGGCAGAAGCAGGCCAGTCGCTTCCCTTTTAGTTGTCTGATAGCTTCCAGCTTTTCCGGCGATGCTAAAATCTGAGCGCGGTACTTTGCCAGCGTTTCTATGCGTGAGATAATTGGACCCGGGTTGAAATCATAATAGTGACCACTTCCGGGCCCTATGTAGGCCATGTTGCGTTGTCTTGCTACCCATTCGAGGACGAGACTCGGAACCTCGGGAGCACATCCCTGGAGATTAACCAGACCAGCCTGTAGGGCGTCGTCGGTGGATGTTTCAGCGGTGCAGATGGTTGCACTATTTTCACACCTTTCCCTATTTATGTCGAGAACACGCGGCCAAAAT